GCACGTCTGGCCAGACCAGTAGGGCCTGACCCATGCATCATCGTCACCACCCCTATCTTCTCCCCTTAAGATTCCGATCTATCATTGAATGTTTGCGGGAAGGTCGAACAAATACATTGAATATATTTATTATTCTCTCTCTCTCTGGGTGTACCTTATGGAGGCCGCAGCAGCCCGAGCAATCGCTACCCTAGTTATATTGCTCGGGTAGGTTAGCATTAGCTAAACATATGATTATTTCATGGGAAGAACGCAGGGGTGCATATCTTTAGACCAGACTGGTGCTCGCTCGCCTTCGTTGCTGCAGTTTACGCGATTTCGTGATGCAACGTGGAGGACTTAACACGTTCAGGACGATGTGTGACCCATCGATGGGTCATCGAGCGTTGCTCTTACGTATTTTCCGACGTGACTGATATTTTATGAAAAAATACGCGGGTTTTTGAGAGCTGAGACGATTAGAAACTGAACAAAGTTTATATTTTTCTAATTTCTATTTTTCTTATTTTATATTTTCTCAATTTCTATTTTCCTTTTTTGATATTTTAAAAATTTTCATTCCCTTAATTTCCATTTTATTCTACTTGATTAAGGATATCAAAGGAAATGAAAATTTTTCAATTGCATCCAAAATTAAGGGAATGAAAATGAAGAAAATATGAAATAAGAGAAATAAAAATGAAGAAAATACAAAATAAGAAAGATAAAAATTAAGGAAATTAACGATAATAAACACTTCAGTAAAATCGAACCATCCGGCACCTCGTAAGCCAGTGAATTTCACTGCCCCCTCATTAAGCGTAGCTGAGTAGTTCGAGCTAGCTAATCGGGCAAATTAATTTACATATTTATAGAGAACCGTGTGTGCGATAATCGCAACGATCGGACGAATAGGTATTACTCCGATGAGCTTTAGCTCCAGCAGGATAACACGTTTTGAGTCTCTTATAGGTTTAGGTGGTAATAGGCTACATTTAATCGGAAATATTAGGTCGTCCACTAAGTTCGTACATCGATCAATGTACATATTTAATAACTAATTTTGCAAAAATTGATTTCAACGAACGTTGGTTAAGCTGCGCTATAATAAAATTTTCAATTGTAGAATATATCCTATTCTCATTATACCACATTGGTATACGTAAGAAGATTATTATAAAAT